CCCCCCCCCCAACACACACATATTGTCTTCTAGCAGTAATCTATTGTCTACCAAAGTATATGACATGAATTTCAATGAATATGTTCTTTCGGAAATAAGACTAAGAAATAGCGATATCAAAATCCAGAAACATGAACCAATCTTACGAGGCAGATACAAAAATTCAAAGTCTTAATGAGAATACAACCCACCTGACAACAGCATGAAGTACGTGGACCAACCTGTCCAGCTTCATCCACAAAACCAACTTGATCACCCCGTTCCTGCGTTTCCCACCATTCTGGATCTGAAATTTTGTTTCTAGGCTGCCTTTTTACATCCAAAGATCTTTCCAAATGAATATCCAAGGAGTCAAGGTCATCAACAAACCCTTTCATTGGTGTGTATGCAACTGCTGGTTCTATTTTGGACTTTCGGAAAGCAAAAGAAGCACTTTTACTTGCAGTCGAGTCCAACCCATTCGACTTTGGAAACCCACTGAAACTATCCAACTCCTCAGCCTCTTGAGGCAAAAGTAAAGGAATATCTTGTAAAGATGACCTAGAAGAAAAGGAATCCTGTCTTCTAATGCCTTTATTGTTGTCCTCAATATTCTTGCTCTCAGAGTCAGTGTCTTTGCTTCTTCCCATATAATGTGGAATCACCATGTGCTGCTGAGGCATAAGTAGTGGAATTGCTTCCTCATATGGAGCTTTATTTCTCTGAAAGAAACACACACACCTTTGTTAAATAACAAAGTTAATATTGTGCATTACTAATTCTAAATATGTATGGACCTTGGCATAGTTCCAGCGCTGAACAAAATGTCGTGCTACATCACGACAAGGTGGTCCCCAGAGCGCACAATGGACATCATGCCAAGGCATTCGAGGATATTTTTCTCGATCCAACTCATCTTTCATTGTATCTTCCCATGAATTTGGTTCAGATTCCCTGATGAAAATGAAATTGCAAAATTTGTTACACATTTGCTGCAAGCCCGCTTCAAACCAACTCATAATTACTCATAAGTCATAACCATGAATATTTACCCCCTTTTTTTTTTTCAAGAACATAATAGTCTCGGAAAGGGGAGGTTGGGGAGAAGACGCACAAAATCCTTTAAGGGTTTGAAACTGATGATTTCTTTAAACAAACTTCAGAGTTACCCCATTAAACCATTCGCATTCAGCAAACTGTTGGGCAACTTCTTTTCATGTACAAGCCTAAAACCTAAGTGCTAGATACTTTAAGCAGAAGCAAGTTGCCACTGCTATCAGCCAAAAAATCCAATCACAAATTGTAATTGTGTCTTTTTCTACTGTTCTATGGTAATATCACAATACAACAGAATGGTGCATAAATTGAGTACATAAAAACTAAAGATAACTGACAAGTGATGAGTTCATCAAAGGCCAAAATGAATGGATAAGTCAAAATTCAGAATCAAAATTCTGAAAAATACTGATCAAACATTCAAAGGAGAATCTTTGCTTAAAGCTTACCTTGGGTTATAGTAGTCTTTTCCAGGCCATACTAAGGGAGGATTATCACCCACCTTGTGTTCAAATGTGTCAAACCGACCAAAGCATAAATCAAGTCCACCAATAAAACAAATTTGGTTATCAACAATTACAAGTTTCTCATGGTGGGACCTATAGGGAAAAGAAATACACATCAAAGTCTGAAAAAATCCAATATATTATAATTATAAAAGGTTACAATTTAAACGCCTCTACACATTCAATTCTCCAAGTAATGCATACCATAGATAGACACCAGTAGAGAAATGGTCAGGATAACGCAATACCCTCACATTCTCATGAATGTTAAGAAGCTTTCTCTTGCTATAGACACTGTTAATTTTCAAAGCAAGAGCAACTTCTTTGTAGAGAAGGATGTATATCTGCAGTCATAGACACATTCAGATCATTCTTCAAGTAAATAATCAAAAAAACTAATTAGCTAACATTCAACTTTCTACATCAGGAGTGGACAGAAATCTATATAGTAGAGCAGATATTTAATTTGTTTTAAAAACGTGCATGTAATAGTTAAATCAGATTTGTAAAATTTAGATGGCTCCAAATAAAACCATAAGTCTTCAACCATCAAACAGTGAATAAGCTCACTGAAAGACAAAATGGAATGGAAGAAAAAATTAGAAGCAATACATGGTTAACACATATACACCTTGATATCTGTGTCCAAATTCATGCACTACACACAGCCATCAACAAGATGATATGTCTGACGAAGTAAAGGATTCAACATCCATTTTTGATTCGTGAAGAAAAGAAACTTATTTATGGACTTCTTAGAAATAAATAAATGAAATATTAGAATACCTGAACCCCTTGCTTGGCTTTGGCTTCCAGCAAAGCATCGAGCCTGGAGGATGGCTGCTCATGAAAAGGACGGCGTAGATACAATTCTGGGCAAAGCCACCAGCCACAAATAAATATCTGCATAAATCTTAAAATCATACAACAGGCTTTTTATGCTAAAGAATGGAAAAATCAGTTTGCTTACAATCAATTTTGACCTGCAAAAGTAGAAAGGACAGACCTCTGATTTTGCATCCTCAATTGAGGAAGCTATAGCCTCAAAAGCCGCCCTACCATCAATGAACCATTGAGCCTGACTACCATCTTCTGTCAAACCCCTTGGAGGAGCAAAAGAGCCAAAGCGATGAGGATGACACCAGCCCTCAGGGGGCCTAAGCCCAGCATCATTAATAGCAGCAACCCAATCTTTAACTTTAGCACTACTCTTCGCTCTTAACCTTATGCTCCGGATTCCACATGTGACCTTTTGAAGTTCCCAACTATCTGTTAGAAAGTGAATTTCTCTAGATATATTCATCAGACATACAACTTAACTTGCCATTGTAGAGATAAATAATTCTTTTAATGTGTAGAAAGAAAACTTATACCCTCAATAAAATCTTCAGTCCAAAAAACCCAAAAATTTGTCTTAATCCTAAAGGTTGATGTCTAATGTGATGTTAATAAAGGTTTAATGATCATGACCTTTAGGATTAAATATGCTTTTAAAATGGCAGAAATATCACCATAGGTTTCTAATGAAGAACTATTTTAGTGGGTGTCTTACTTAAACTTTAACATGACTAGTAAAATGTAAATAATAATGTGCCCACCAGGGGGAAAATTTTCCACAGAACGAACAGCACATATTCTACTGACCTTAAAAGCATGGCGTAAAGGATTACGTTCCTTTACTTCTGCCGCTAATGATACCCGGCCGTCACCGTTACCATCTGAGGCTGGTAATACATCGAAAACAATTATGTCTAAAGGTTTAGTATCAAAAGGATCTCCCAGTAAGGCCAAGAATCCAGGTTTCAGTACAGCCCACACCTGTACATGATCATTAGACATGAGAATAGAAAACATAGGTCAATTAAGTAAACTAAAAATGTGAAAATATCCAAAATGATGGCAACGGAGAGTTATTTTATGCTCCAAACCAGGGAGCTATTGTCCATATGGCAAGAGAAAGGTACATCAAATCGAACATTTTCAGTAAGGTACAATCCAATAACACCAAAAAAACCAGACCAAAATTCTCAAGCATAAGAATCAATATATGACGACCATAATTCCATCTCAAAACTCTCTTCCCAAATCCTATAATTTTATTTTAATTTATCCCATCTCACCCATTAAGAACAGTAGGAGATTCCTATGCATATTCTTCAGAACTCAGCACAGCTGACCAAATGATACCTCTTAAATTTAGATCCATGCTGAAGCACAAAAGAGGCACACTATTATGCCAGTTTTCCTCCTACCAAGAACATTTAGAGAGAGAAAAGAGACGCAACTGGTACTTGCTGCACCACATGCAGGTGCAACATATGCACTGAAACAAGTGCATTTAAGTTGAATATAGACTGAGCTTTCAGAAATGAGATCACATTACCTTTTGCCAGTTGTCATTACAGCAACTAAACCAATGACATGCACAGCATCTATCAGAATCATCATTCTTTGCAATTTTTGGCAGATGCTTCACCATTACATAATCTTCCTTCAGCTTAGGGCCATACTCTGGTGAAAATGACAGCTTTGAAACCTCCAAAAACTTGCAAACCTACAAGAAAATTAAGAGAGATACTAATACAATCAATAAAAGAGCACAAATAGAGCAAAAAAACTCAGAACATAAAATACATAGCAGTTAGTAACCACACTCCTAGTTCTAAGTTCTATAAGTAAATCCATGTGATTTGAATTTAAGAATCCGACTACGACTACATAATCATTTCAATTTCAATTTCAATTTATTGACTGACATTTTACAGAACCAGCAATTAATAAGGTTCATCTACTTCATGATTCCATTGCATGAAAAAAAGGAAAGCTAAGCTGAATTTGATCATTTATTTTCAACACAAACACAAGAGGGGAAATTCAGCACATCAATAGTAACTAAAGTAAAACTGAAATTACCTGGTTTATTTTCTAAGCATAGTAAAGTATACTAAAGAAAGGTCTAATACCTATGAAGATGCATGTAAATGAACAGCAAATGATTGCCACGGACACATCATGCTATCACCATGTTAAGGAAAAGTCAAAGGCCTACCTCTCGAGAGTTAACAATATCCATATTTCCAAGAAAGTGATTCAGATATTCTTTCATCGCAACCTTTGCTCTGTCAGACATAGAAGACTGCCTTCCCAAGGCTGGTCTAATAACTGGAAGAGCAGCACTTGAAGGAACATCTCTAAGTAGAAAAAAAAAAAAAAAGATAAAGCAGTCATAAGCACGATGGGTTAATTTTCTTTTGTATTATTTGAAAATTCGCGATAACAACAATCACCTGTTTTTAGCGCTTTCATCATGATGTAAAGGAACAGCATCATCGTCTGGTTCATCATCATCTTGCACAACTGGCGTATGGTCTCCTATTCCTAGATTTTGAAGCCATTCTTTAACCTTTAATATAATAATATTCAGAGTGAAAACCACATCAAAATCCTGAACCTTAAGAAGTAAACAGTTATTAATAACAGTAATTTCAAATTGCAGCAAAAGCACAGATGAACATCGTCGTTTTCTCTACAGACCTGCTCTTGCTTCTCATGAATTTCTTCAATAAACAATCGTTTCTTCAAAGCAAAGTGTAAGTAAAAAACGTGTGAAGCTTTCTTTAATAACCGCCACTTAAACTGAAGAATCAAAACGCAGAAATGAGCATAAAAACAAGTAAGATCGAACATATACTATCAAAGCAAATTTAGAAAGAATTGATTGAAGAAACGAAGGGAGGAAAACTTGCTTGTTTGTATTGGAATTCGATGGTGTAAGATAAGAGCATGGGGCTAATATCGCCGGCGTCGGGTCTGGAGACGGAGACGATGGTGGCTTTAGGTAACTCGTCGAAAATCCGAGTCGACTCAGGAGCGACACCTTGAGAGAACGAGAACAACGATGACATCATCGACGGCAACGGCTCCGATTGCATCTGATAGTACCGTGGTCCACCTCCGGACATCAATTCCTCCGATGCCATTTATATTAATTGATATAAATTAAAGATCCGAGAAATTCTTTTCCGATCGATCTGATAAAAATAATAAAAAAGAAGAAGACCGACTTCGGAAAAAGAAATGGGAATTCAGATCCAGAGCTTCTGAGAGGACGAGAAAGGAGAGGGAGAGACGGAATTGGCTTTTTGAATGGTATTGGTTTTTTGTCTTCGTGTGGAACGTAGAGATGAAATGAAAAAATTGTGCGACCGAATCTGGAAATTGTTTGTCGGGTTTTCCGGTTGGTCCGAAGTCTATGACACGGACCATGTTTTTAAGGCGGTTTTAACTTTTTAAGGATACATTATTTAATGTGCCCAATTGACTACTGATTATGCCTCCATTGCTTGGGCTTTTAAAAATCAAAATCACTGATATTAATTATATTAAAAAAAAAACTTGCAGTAGATAATTTGCTTTGGCGGTTGGCGGTTAATTCATTCAACTACTATCTTAAGGCTGCTGGTTTCATCTCACAATAAGAAGATTAGTTAATAGCTATTAACTAAGAGGGAGTGTTAGTTGGTTTCCATCGAAAATTCAATCATTTTAGTTTCATTACCATTATTTGGATTGAAATATTATTTAATATTTTTAATAAACAGCATCTTGCTCCAATTAAATAATCAGGACAGGACAGAGAAGTGATCATTTAGAATTGCTACTACATTGTCGTTATCGGTTAATATTAGATTCGAATGGGTTGGATCCTTCCATGACCAATCACGAAAAGAACACGATTTTTAAGAGAGAAAATGAGAAGGGGGTGCAGCACTGGCATCACCATGGGATCTTGAAAATGGAATTTTGTCTTTCTACCGTCGCAGCATTTGTTGCCGTTTGACGTGTACTATAAAAAAGGCTCACCGTTATTAACATTTGATCTTATCGGTAGGTACGGGCCTCGTGGCCATGATCCTCACAAATTGTCAATCCTTTTCCCACATTGCCCGAGACAGTGCTACAAGCAAAACAGCCACACCCTTCTATCACTATCCTGGTTAATTTAAGACCATGCAAACACTTAAATACTCAATTCATATTTTAATAAATAACCGATACAAGATTTACGACCCAATTGAAATAAGTAAATACCAGCAGCCCCCGGATGCAGATAAGGTAGGACTGGACTCAATAGTTTCATAAAGAAAAGTCGTACAATGTTTACTTACTTGCCTGTGCTACCTAGTCGGCCATTCTTGATTTGGGAAATTCAATCAAGCCCTTGCCGGAGTATCTGATCAAGCATATAGGTATCGTACTCGCAAAAGTCGAAGGGCAGGGGTTGGGGGAGAGTAATAAGCAACATTTGTAATGCATGGTAATTCAACAATAAACTAATATCACAAACATTTTCATCCAACATAACAGCTCACAGGTTTCAAAAATTCCGTAATTTATAATTAAAAGTTTTAACATAAATGAAAACAGAGTTTTGCAAACAAACTCCTACAAAGGAAACAAAAGGCATTAGCATATAAAGTTTGGCGATCTTCATGATTTCATTCACTTCTTCAATTTCTTAACTCCCCTGCAAAAATTGAAAGAACTCCAAATTAGACCTGTTGAAACAGATAAAACAACAACGCATCAATATTATCATGCAATCTTACTCGGCCTGTTGAGGTGCAGATGCAGGTGCTGCCTTCTCACCTGGTCCCTGTATGGCCAAGAAACCAAAACATAAGGTCACAAAGTAACCAACTAGAAGCATCCCAAACCAAAAACACAGATGAACCTACCACATTATACTTCATACAAGACACAGGATTCATTCTCCCATCCCAATATCAATATATAAATCAAAACAGATGTTCAAATTACCTGTGCAAGGCGTTCCTCCCTTCTGGCCAACTTCCTCTCCCTGCTTGCCTTGTTCTTGGCACGCTTGGCCTCGAACTGATCAGAAAGTGTCTTCTCTCTTGCCTTCTCTGCCTTGGACTTGTGGATACTTTCCATCAAAACACGCTTGTTTTTAAACACATTACCCTTGACTTTCATGTACATGTCATGGTACATGTGCTTGTCAATCTTCTTGGACTCCCTGTACTTACGGAGAAGACGCCTCAATACACGCATTCTCCTCATCCAAAGGATCTTCGTTGGCAACCTTGCCTCCCTGGTACCCTTCCTTTTACCTGAAAGCATAAAGAAGACATTATGCCTTGCTTAAGGTGAACTATGTGCAAGAAAGGGAACCCAATTATGCATCCAATACATTAAGTATATGCTTCTGAAATGTTGATTAATCATACCATATCCAGAGTGTCGGCCCTTTCTCTTGGCCTCCTTCATTCTGCGTGCACGAGAACGGGAGTGAATCTTGGTAGGCTTCTTGATAATGAAACCATCCTTCACCAGTTTCCTAACATTCTGCCCTGCAAACAGTAATCAAATTATTGACAGCTTGATTTAAACATAACAGAAGCAAAAGCTCCTTCACAAAGTGACACGAAACACAACGTGAGACGCCCAAAATTGCACCCCATTCAATTTAAGATTCATTGGAACAAAAGTGGACTAAACTCCAAAGTTTCACAATAATAAATAGGCAAAAAATTTTAATTCGGAGCCTTTTTTTTTTAATTTTACAGAACTCGTTTCGAGCAAACAACATTTCTATAAATTTGTTACTGTATCTACCAGCTATGAATAAGTAGAAATTCAGATCCCAAATCTATCATTCATTTCCCACGTTTTCCACGTAACCGAATAAACCCTAAACAATCAAGGACGAACAATAGCAACCAGGGTCTATATTCTAAATCATATTGCATTCATAGATTCCGATTTATACTTAGAAATGAATTAAAAAGGGACGAAGAAACTAGCGAGGCAAGGAACTTACTGGAATTGGCCATGGAGATTTCATTGATTTCATTAGGGTCGAGCCAGACCTTGCCACGCCCGCACTTGAGGACGCTCGCGGCAAGCCGCTTCTGGAGCTTCAAAGACACCATGGTTTGGTTTCTTCTCTCGCTCTCTTGGCCTGTGTCTTTCTATGAGTGGAAACTCGAGGGTTTTCGCGAAGAAAGGCGGAGGCGGATTTTATATCGGTGGGGGAAAAGTCTGTTAAGATTAGGGTTTTTGAGATGGAAAAATCAAATGGGCGTGCCTGGGCTCACCTATAATGGGCTTAATTTCAGCCCACCCAGTTAAATCAAGGCCACAATTCATTGGAGCGACATTTTGTGTCTATTTCGAAAGCCCAGTTTGGTATCGCGATAATATAAATTTTAAGATTGAAAATAAATTCGTAATTAAATGTAAGTTTATTACCCATTTTCATGATAGAAAATAAACTCACATCATTCATCAATTTTTAATATAAATATTGTCTCGAATGATTATATTTTCCTTTGAATTTGAATATTATAATCGATTATTCTCTCACTTATTCCAAGAAAAAGAGAAAGATAAACTTCAAACAGTTTAATTATTGTTTTTTTGTTTACTTTTGTTTAGTACCACCTTATTTAATAAAAAAAAATTAAATGAATAATATTAACTTGAGTGATCTCTAATCACATTTTGAAATTTTAATCAAGATTGAATCCAACTTATATTAAAATGTACTGATATAATTTATTGATCTTCATATCATTGTTGATATTATGTTTTCTGTTATATAGAAGAAACAAAATTATGAAATAATCTCATCGAATAACTTAGTTTTATGACAAAAAAAAATGAAGCAAGTGAAATTATATACATCTTACTATGACAATTTGTGCAAATAGAGATAAAGTATAAAATTCAAGAAGGCTTTATTTACTAGGAAGGATTGACAAATTTTTTTCGATTAAATGATTAGGTTTTATAATGACTTTTCGACTTCGTAACTTAGTAATTAGAGTAAAACTTTTTTCTTTCTTACTTTAGTTCCTCTCTATCAAGATAAGTTTAAAGTTCGATATGATTAAAACATCGAATGGGGTTCCTTAACCATACTTTAAAACAATATATTAGAGTTTATATGTTTATTATTTTATTCTAATTTCTCTCAAATTTAATTCACTAGCAATGGAAGTAAATATAAGAAGAAGAATAATCGTGGGGTGCAAAGAAAATTAGGCCGGAATTGGTGTTTAGACAGAGATCCGGCCCAAGTATATGTCCGCCTGTTATTGGGCTCAGATTCAGCTCAAGGTCCAGTTATGTTTCGGGAGGTTTTCCGGCTGCCACCCCTCAAAATTGAACAGCCGTCGAACCGCCAAATGAATAAGACGTTGCGTTTTGACTTGTTTTTTTGGTTGTCATTTACCTTCCCTCCGCGAGAATCCCCAAATTCTATTCCAACTGCCCTTCCCCAATTTTCCCTCTTTGTTTTCGCGCAAATTTAATCAATCCCCCAAAATCTTCCCTTGAAATTCTTTGAAAATTTGTTAAATTTCCCTTTCTCGGTATCGATTCAGATTTTTTGTTTGCTAATGGACCTCTCTATAATTTGCGATACGCTAACAGTGGCCACTTCCCAAGGCCTAGGGTTTGCGAAATTGATTCTCGACCGCCGCCATTACTTCGCTGGAAACGGTTGCCTTTCCCTCTCCTCCGATTCATCCGCCGATAATCTCGGCATCCTCCACGTAACAGCGACAATCGTCCCCGTGGACGCCGTCGCGCCTCCACCCGTCAAGCCAAACTCCTACAAGACGTTACCTCGAACTCTCCTTCGAAGAAAGCGCCGCGCCAAGCGGACGTCGTTCAGTGGCGGTGAGCCCAACGACGGCGAAGATTACGGATTATTCTTATCGAGTGATGGTGGCGATGGATACGGTCCGTTCGGCGGTGGGGGTGGTGGGGGAAGCAGTTGGGGTGGGAGTGGTTGGAATTTTGGCGAGTTTGGAGGGCAAAATTGGGATGAGTCGTCGTCGTCATCGTCTCCGTGGACTGGTACGGCTTTGGATTTTGTTTATGAGGTGATTTGCTGGATCGCGTTATCGAATTGCGTGCATTTTGCCTTTAAGAAGGTGATTAGAATTGTGGCAAATGGGATCGAGGATGCTGGGGACAGGGAGAAGGTTCCGATGAGATTGGCTTCCGTTTGCTGATTGGGAGATTAATTGGGTATTCCAAAATCTCTGCCTTGTTATATTTCCAATTCAAGTTCAATGTACATATAATTGTATATACTCATTGTTCATAATTACAACGTTTACTAGCTATTCTCATTGTAGCTGTAATTATTGCGTCGGCTGCTTACTTGGTTTGAAGAACGCAATGGCAATGCTGTTGAATTGATTGTCGAAAACTATGTGATGTTATTTGTTTGTAGAGATTGTCCTCTAAATTGTCTTATCCACTTGATTGGTCCGGATATTTAGAGTTTTGTAGCACCATGATTAAGATAAGTTGGGTCAAGTTGTAAGGAGTGATGAATCCCATCAAATAGTAGATAAGGATAGTGCTGGGAACAAGAACAAAATGTGCACAGCAGTCAGCAAGCTGGTTGGACACCTTGATATGTTGTTGCAAATCTCTTCTGTTTCATGGCATGGAAAGTGTCATGATCAGTTTGTGCTGATTCACTGGAGCAAGTAGCATAAACAAATTAACTAATGTGGAATTGGATCTTGCTACGTGCTTTTCTACGACCTAGAGGGGGTAATTTTGTTTGCTAGTACACATTTCCTGATGTTGGCTTATGGCACTTTTGATTGATCATGTCTGCCATGCGGTTTCGTGAACCATACTGACAAAATATTTCTTCATACTTGAAACTTTAGATTAATGCAATAAGGAGAAACTTTGTGGTAAGTCCCTTTGTCTTTTATGACTTGGTGATGGATTCTTTTTGATGTTGAAGATCGATTTGCACTTTGAGGATCTGTCAGTGCTTAATCAGTACCAATGTTGAAAAATTGTTTTCATTTGCATGTAGTTATTTGGATGTGGTAGTCTTACATGGTGATATTTCTGTGTGCACGCATATTCTGGAATAAATATTAAAAAGTTCTCGTTTTGCTCTAATGTGCAAAACATTTTATATCTGCAAGTAATTTAGTTTCTAAATTAGCAGAAAACTCATCTTGTGTTTATCTTCTTTGTCAAAATAATCCTTGAAAAAGAGAGAGAACAAGAAGGTAAGCTGATGTGCTATTTCCATGGAATGACCTTTTTCTGATATTAGGGGCTGAATTTGTATGGCTTTAGTCTATTTCGTTGCTTGTCTGTAGATGAATTCTTGTTATCGAAAACAGAAAACTGTTCTACTTTGGGTCATTTTAAGTCTTATCAAAAAAGCAAGATGTGTTGCCATCAAGTTGTAGATGCAGCATGTGTGGGACTGGCGATCTCTAGAGAGAGGCATATGATTACATACGAGCATAGGAAGGATTGTGTCGCAGTTGATTAATGTTGGAGACTTGAGAGAGGAAACTATGTATGGTGAGTTTGAGTCTTAACGTTTTATTTTGAGTCTAGCCATTGAATCTTTGTACACAGGATTGTGCGAAGCACGATATAGAATGCTGTGGGCTGATATAGAAAAGAACCAGGCTTCTCTGGCTGGGTTGAACCAGTCACCAACGAGGAAACAGTTTGATCCATGACTTGTGGGCCATAGTGTGCCATCATAGCAGAGGAACTCAGCCAGTGAATCGGTGAAAAGTGAAGACAGTCAAAAATGGAGACATATGGAAGATCCATGGAGGGAAAATGGAGGTTTAAGTCGGTCAAAGGTAAAGCCAATTCAGTTCAAAACAGTCACTGGTCAGTGAATTTGACCAATAGATATGATTATGGCACTAATAACAGAACTTTTCCTTAGAAAAATTGAAAACTTGGTTTATAATCTGTTCCGACTTTCCTACTTAGCAGCCAAGGTGCCTGCTTTACCTTAACAGAAACCCAGAATTTTGGGTAGTGAATAAAAATAGAAGACACCAAGAAATAGTTAAATGATTGAGGAATTATACGGGGAATACCCAAATATCATTACAGCACCAGCTTCCTTTATATTTTATTTTGTTTTAATTTTACAAATGTCAACATCTACTAAAAACTAAGTGGACATTAGCCATGATTGAATCAACTATTCAAATTTGCTTAAATTAATTAACAATTCGTATGCAAATCTAGAATGGTATATCGGCCAAATCCTAGTGCATGAACATTTGATCCAATGTTTCTGTTTGAGAGATATAAATGGAATACTTTTTCACTTAAAATATTACAAGTTGGATGTGTTTGTTTTTTCTTAGAAATGAATCCTTCAAGTGGCATTCCCAGGTTGCTTTCAGGGACCCATCAGATGAAACAAATTGTGACCAAATTAACTGCCAGAAATAGAGTTGATGATGATTTTAATTACACAAGAAAGGACGACAATCAAGCTGACTCAGCTGACATAATACTAAGATTAACTTGTTCTCTTTTCAATAATGATTGTTATTTTGTATATTTAAAAGGATCATTCGAACAAATTTAGTATTGTTTTGAAATAAAATAATACTGTAAAGGACCCACCTCGGATTCTGTCGACACAAGTTAGGTTTGGTTCATGCATCTTCCCCCCTGGATGAGCTCCCCATTTTCAATTGCTTTCTCACCAACCCATCAATTCTTCTAAGATCGAACATTTGACTCGAAACAGTAATCAGCTTTCTCATGTTCACCTTTGCTTGTAGAATGTAATCCTGATATTTGCGAGACAGTAATTTGTGCCGGAAAATATAAATACATTATTATGTTATGAAATCATTATTCTTTTTTCATGTTTAAATTCACATTATGTTAGTCAAATTATTCCGCGTAATGAAATATATGGTCATGTTTATAAAGCTAAAATCTCTCTCTTTTTTATTTTATATAACATTCAAAAGTTTTTACGAATTATTTCAACTTTGAATTCTTAAATTTTCATAAAATTTCTTTGAATTTTTCTAAATTTCCAACTTATACACTTTTTCAAACTATTAACAGTGACAGATTCACCTAATTGTCATGTGACCAAATGTTTCTCAAAAAGAAAAAAAAAAAATCAGGCGACAAAGGTCAAAGCTTGCTTTGTTTCAATGGAGTGACAGAATCGGAAAAGGAAAAGGATACTATGCCATAGACATATAGGTCCTCTCAAAATGGTGGAAAAGTCATGAAGACATATCAAATTTTACGATCTGTACACGACAAGGAATAAGTTTAACTCGATCTAGGTCGGTCTAGGACGACAAACCAACCTACAAAACTAATCCCCGCTCGAGAATTACTTTGCTTTGTCTTCCTTGGGTGCATGCATGGGGCAACCTCTTTTTACCCTGTCAATGCCCGCAAAAACCACAGCCACCTGCCGCCATGAAAGCTTGGCTTTACATTACTCAATGCAGAGCCACGTGTCCATTGGTGAAAGTGAAAAACGAGCTAAGCTTTTTTTTTTGCTTGATTTTCCATCATCAACTCAATAAATTGCTAGCTAACCCGAAATTGGTATATGGTAAAATCAAACTTTCAGTGCCAACATCACTTTTCATGTTACTACTGTGATCAGCAACTATTTACACACATCAAAGCTCATTATTATGCTGTTACAAATACTTTTGTAACCTACATGCAAAACCGTTAAACCGGACAAGATTAGCAGGAGCCAATTTTTAATTATATCGTAGAATTATCTGTTTTTGCCAATAAAATTTAAAGTTCAAGATTTAAGATTTTAATTAATGATAAAAGTTGAATACTTAACAGGAAATTATAAAAAAGATATTCAAACTAACACGTTAAGTAATTCTTATTTTTCATACATCCGTTGAATCATATAAACTCGATAAAAATGATGTAACTCCTCCCCAGAACTAACTTCGAACATTGCATGTGGCCTAAATGGAAAATTATTTTATTCACTTTCTCCTAAGTTAACCATAGAGTTTGGTCGTCAAGATACCAAAGCAAGGGAAACACACCTGCTATAGCCGAGTTGTGAGCAATGGCCAAGTAGTGTGCATATTGCTTTGAGAAGGAACCAGCCTCTAATTCTTATTTTGCTTGGCTCTTTGAAAAAGTAGGAAACAGACAGAAATCTCGAATTATTTGCTCCACCTATAAGCTAAGTACAATATTATTAAACATTTTTCTAATCTTCCAATTAACTATCACATATATATATATATATATATTTATATATTCTTTGTGGGATTTATTTATTTTTCTCAAAGAACAAGATTTCGTGTTCCTAATAATATTGAAATGGCCGGGTGGGCAGTACGTATGCTACCATCACATGTTTCGTCGATATCAATGATTCAATATATTTAATGGTTAATCATCACTCTAATCACCATCACCATCATTATCATGTGGTGGGAACATTTGTTGTAGCGATAAATGATAAATCTAACAAATATAATATGTAAGACAAATTTTATTCGCATTCATTTCGATTTCAATTTTTTTCACATATATTATAAATTTTTTCTTAATTATTACTATATGGATATTCTTGTCTTAAACGTAACTTATATTCTCAATGGGTATTAATATATTTTTACAATGAGTTAATTGGACGATTTTCCACAAAATATTGATCAAGAAAAAACATATCTATGAGATAAACTCAATACATACATATTCGTTAATAATATTTATAATAAATTATATCTGCGATTATTTGGATTTTAACCTTTTTTTTTTCACATGGTATCATGTGTTTTTTCCTTAATTAATACCTTATGGATATTTTTTTCTTAATCATAACTTCTATTCTCAAAATGGGTATTAACATATTTTTACAATGTGTTAGACGATTATTCACAAAATGTTGATCAAGAAACATATTTACAAGATAGTCATGAAAAAAAAAAAGAAACCCGATATTTTGTATGTGAAAATTGTTCTAATAATAATTAACAATAATTTCAAAAAATTATTAGTACTGATAAAAGATGGAAGTTAATTAATAGAAAGCACAAATATATGATACATGAACCGACATGATGGGCATGAAATCCAAGGTCGTCCAATACAAACCCAAATACAAACAAGAAAAGATGATGCATGTAATACACGCGCTACTCCTTTATTCTCATATTTACCATGCATAACATAAAACATAGCATGAGCATGTACCACGGTGGTCATGGTACCCCCATCGAAAACCCTAATTAACACATAAAGATGATGATTAACGCTAATTATTACTATTAGTCGGTTTTTTTTAGGTTTATTTAAATTTGTTTAATCTAATAAACAAGCTGGCGCTGCTGCTGATGATGAGTCACGAGGTCATCAAGCATCCAGAGGTCCACTGAGTCAGGCTCACCGTTTCCACTCGGCTGAGGGGTCTCAGGCTCCAAACCAAGGAACGATTCCAGGCTCCAGATTTGCTCTTTCAGCTCCAGCTCACTCGTCTCCACTGCTTCACACGGCCTGTAAACTTCGTTCCCGTACGCGAAACCCATGTACGGTTGTGGCGTTGGCGGGGGTGGTGGTGCGCCAATGGTTTCAAAATTCGCATGACTCAGCTCAGGGGCGACGATGCGGCTTTTCTTAGCAGGAGGCTGGACTGGGGCTGGAGGAGCTTGAGGGAAGTTGAGCTTGGCTTTATCTCCACGGATGCGCTTGGCGGCTTCATCGTAGGCTCGAGCTGCTTCTTCAGCTGTGTTGTAGGTACCAAGCCAGACTCGGACGCCTTTGTGGGGGTCTCTAATCTCAGCTGCCCATTTGCCCCATGGCCTTTGCCTGATTCCTCTGTACACGTTCTTCCGAGTTCGCTGAGTCTTCCCCTCTTTTCCTGTGCCCCGGCTTGTCACTGAACATCCCCCCGCCCCCACAAAAGAAAAAACCAAAACTTTTAGCCAAAAATTCACAATATTTCTTCTTCATGAATCAATTGCAAACATCAAGCAATCATTTTAAAGAGGAAATTGCTGAATTTTGGACAATTTTTACCAAAAAAAACCAAAACTTTAGCAGGAAATAGACAAAGAAAAAGCGCCATCTTTCTTTTACATGAACAGACTGTGACAGCAAAATTTCTTCCTTTCTACTTTCAATGGTATTTTCTAAAATGGGTACTACCGATTTCAGCTTTAAGACCATTAAAAAATGCTAGAATTCAAGATCATGCAATAGACAAAGGCAAACAGACAAAGAAAAAGAAACACTGATATGGTTTTCATTATCATGCAAGAAATACAACAAGGAAACATCATAAATTTCTACAAAGAATCATAATTTGAAGGATACGCAGAAGCAAAAAAAACTCTTTACCTTTGTTCAGTTGCGTGCCTTTTGGACCGACCTTGGTGTTGCCCGACTGAGTGAAAGCGTCTTTCCCATTGTAGTCCAAACCCAAGAGGTCGGAGAAGGTGTCGAGCTCCGACCAAAGGTCTTCTGCGGTCAGCTTCCGACCACGCTTCACAGCAATGAAATCAGAAATGATTGCACCTCCGCACATCTTTTTCGGGTGGTCTTAAAAGAAAAAGTTTCGATGTTTTTGACAAAACTTTAAAAAGTGAAGAGGAAAACTAAAACTAGACAGAGAGGGAAAGGCTTTGCCCCGTGGGTGGGTCTACATTTATAGAGCGACGGTTACAACCAATCTCTCACAGAAAAAGACATATCAGCCATTACTTTTTCTGGGTTTCCTTTGTTTTCTTCTGATCCTGATCCGACGGTTCAGAGTGAATCAGTGGAGCTGGAAATCAAAGGAAGAGCGTCGAGAGGCAACGTGGATAAGACAAATTAAGGGAGCCCATCCTGGCCGTACGATTTAGAAGTGGGCATGCTTCTTTTGGAAGGGAGTGACTGGTAGGGTCCACGATGTGGGCCTCTGGTGGCAAGTGGGGATCCCAGTGATGATGACGTGGCTGTCTGTGGTTGGGAGAGTAAATGACGGGGCTGTCTCCGAGTGTGTGGTCCGTGCCGGGCTTCGGAGTAACGCACGTCAGACGGGTCCAAAAATTAACGGCCCAGTTGAGGAAAGCAAGGAGTTTGCACTTGCCATTTGGAGTGGAAGTGTTACCAAATGACCCTGGAGTTGGCACTTATTTACAATCTTGTCACCTCTCACTTTTTCCTTAAATGACAAGAATGTTGTCTTGCCTGATATAACTCTATTCTCATGTGACTGCAATAAACTGGACAGTGATACAAGAAAATTATAAAATGAAACATAAAATGAGTACAGAAAATTTTTATTCGTTAAAACATTATCTCGTCCTTATATTTTTTGAATTAAACTCAAGTTGTGAATTTTACGGGATAAATGTATAGATAAGAACATGTCAGTTATTGTTGATTTGTGTGAAATAATTATAAAATTAGATAATTCTCAATATCAGTTACATCAAAAGAATCAGAACAATTTTGATTGGTCCCAGAGATTTCTGCTTCTTAGCACGATCAAGCAATTGGGAAGGCAAGAGTCTGGGAGCCAGCCCATGGATTAAGGCTTGAGCGTCATCCAGAAAAAGAAAAACCCATTGTTAAATGTTAAGGAACAATGTATGTAGCCCAGTGCCTTGAGTTGCAGCTGAAACTAAATGATCAGATGATGTTTTCCTTTCCATGGAAAGAATGATGACAGTAATGAAGTTCAGGGAGGAGGCGATGGCATTGCATCATCCAGGAAAGGACCAGGCTTTTAGGAAACAGCTAAGCAAGACTTAGAAGTTGCAAACAAGAATGAGGAATCAGATTGCTTTTCCGTTTCTGCCTCCTGCCTTCACTTGTGTCCCCTTTCATCTCAAAGCAACAAGCCAAAACTCCCCATCCTCTCATAGACACAAGTATGTTCTGTCTTTTATTTGATTGTGTGGTCCTTTTTTTTTTCCCTTCCCCAGTCTTCTTGTATTATTTTCATCATTATATTATTCATTTTCCTTCCAACAGTTTGTCTTTCCCTGCCTTGGGCAGGAAGGAATCTGTGTATCTGAATTATGACACACAATTTAATGAGTTCTAAAAGACTTCCCAAGAGGATAGATTTTTGGGGCCAATGGACTTTTGTTCTTTATGAAGTCGAACAAATTAAAAAAAAGTTTGGTAGAAGTCTTAAATGAGCTCTTTCGCTTCATTGATTAGCTCATTGCGATGGAGCTTTGAAATGGGAAATCCACAATCATAATCTTTTTCTTGTAATTTTCTCTGGTATTTCCTTCCTGACTGAAGCTGGTTGATGATAATTGCAGGCTGGCTGGGTCTCTCTGATTGGTGCAAACTTGGCTTCTTTGCAATGGTACAGCTCATTTTCTTTTCACTCTAGCTAGATGGTGAGCAGTTAACACTTGATTTCGAGTTTTAATCAAGTTGAATGCTATCAGAATCCTTGTTCTTGAAGTGAAGCATGGATTTTTGGAAAGATTTAGATACATCCTTTCCATTTATTAAGCCATTTTTGAGTCCTAAGCAAAGAAACAAGACAAATTACAAGCAGCACAGTGCAGTGGAGAAACTTGGGTGCAAATTATGCTTTTGTTACGCATTCCCATCCTGGAATGTGACTGTCACGTTCCAAGAACATCCCTCACGCGCATACCTTCCTCTGCAAATGTGGTCGTAGCTTGCTAGAAATTGACCGAATCCGGGAAAGTAAAGATGTAAAAAGGCTGCCCAAGTTGCATCCATTTGGCTAACATTCCATGATCCATCCAGTGAATCAAGCAAGGTCGGCTGCGATTTTTTAATCTTTTCTTCATATAAATTATGAAGCTCTTGGTCTAAATTCTAAGACCTTATCTTTAACCAGATTGTCTTTTTCTCATGAATCTGATGCAGATTTGGTTATTTGTTTCTTTTTATATTTTCCCTCCTCTTGGGTGCTCTGTATGAGTGAAGTCACACCCTGATTACTACCAATACTCAAGAACGAGAAATATCATACCCTGTTTGGAATGTTGTGTTCAACGAGCTTAGCAATGAGCAGCCAAAGTTGACTTGGATGGTTCTTGCAGTCATATTTGTTTGTCCCAAACTGTGAAAAAAGTTCTGTTTCATGGAAAACCAAAGAAAAGCCCACAGCCACTGCATTATGTAAACAACGAACATTCCCTCAGGATAATCCAAGTTATGAACCACAAGCAAAGCCCATCAAGCCTATCATATTCTATGATGCCTTAATCTTCAAAGAGGGTTTCAAATTATAGCAATCCATGCAAATTATTCTTCTAGTCAATCTGTTGGTTTTTGATTTGGGAACCTAAAGACCAACTTGAGGCCTGAGGGTTCAGTTTCACATGTTTCGAAAGAAGGCAAACTTAAGTTATGAAGATACAAAATGCTATAGCATCACTAGCAACATCAAAGAGTCGTATAATACCAAAAATTATCCAATACTCTTGCCAGTGTAAACAGATAATAAGTGCAAGCTTGTTGAGCAGAGTATTGTATGCTTTCATCTGAAGTGACAAGAAATCATGCTAGCTGAATTGTGTTTCAATTCAAAGACCATGCTGAGCTCAAGACTGATGTATAGTGAAAAAAAGAGTAATAGCAATCGACCATAAATTATTGTTCTCCACATATACACGAAACCATACATGCTGAAATTTGATTGCAAATTCCCAAAGCTATTTTTGATTGTCAAAGAAGAACCATTTCCAGTCACAATCAAAAAAGGAAACATATTCAACCACAGCATACATGCAACACCCACTGCAATGCCACATATAAATTGAAAGACCATATACGTAGGAAAAAGGTTATTATTCCCCATAATTCTGTTGATAGTATAAGGGGAAAAGATATCAACCTAAATGAAGAAGCTAATACAAAAAAAAAGAATCTTAAAACCTTCTAGCCTGCCATTTTAGTCAAGCGATGGACGGTGCTTCTTGCAATCCTGTTACTGGGATCAATCTTCAGAACAGTTCTCAGATCTTCTGCCCCAAGTTTGTATTTCTCCATGCTTTCATACAAGAGTGCACGTTGTACAAGGACAGACACATTTGTGTCATCACGCTCTAGCACCTGCAGAGAAAAATGCAGAACATAACTTCATAAGTCAAACAAGCGGGTTGATACATTGATATCAATTGAAGCGACCAACACAAATAAAATAAGAGCAGTCAATCTGATACATGCAAAACTAAGGACCTTGCAGTGTGCACAAATAGAGGAACCATGCTCATTACTCTCTTTCTTTCTCAGACACAGAAAAGCTCTCAGATGGATATCAAAATAAACATAGCTAAAGTATACAGTATTGTAGTTTGCAAACAAGACAAATCTCAAATCAGGTAATTAAGTATGTATCAAAAGTAGCCTAGCCCTACTAACTAGTTAAAGGCTCGCTCTGGAGTCTGGAGCCAAAGTCCGAGGTTCAAACCTCAATAGCTGCTAGGCACATTAACAATTTGGGAGGTGGTTCGCATATCGTTACTTCAACATAGGAAGGTTCAGAAGTTGAGTAAATTCACAAAATTCATTCGCAAACCATGTCAATGCAATCAATTTTAAAGGTAAACATTCACATTAATAAGGAACTATAAAAATCTGTTGAACAGTTTAAAGAGTCATTGATACCTTTGAACAGTCAGCCACAGCCTTCTTATACTCCCCAACCTCTTTATAACAAGAAGCCCTACATGATAAAACCTCCATGCTGCCAGCGTTATCATTTGCCTTCTCAAAAAGAATCACTGCCCATGACAGCCATTTAATGGCATCAGCATACTGGCCTTGCTTCTGGTTGTCAATGCCCTTCCTCTTTGCAGCAGATGCTGTGACTCCAGCCGGAGGAGGAGGAAGCCCTTCAAGTTCAGTAGTTGAACCACCTTCATCAGTTCCTCCTGCACCTCCAAACTCAGAGTCCAGCCCCCAATCATCAACTGCCGAAAATTGCTGCCCTCCACCTCCACCAGATGCTTGTTTAACACCTCCAGGCAAAGTTGAAGATGACGAAAAGAACATATCTAGAGGATCACCACCTGAGCTTTGAACAGATGGCTGACTTTGAGATCCAGCATTCTTTGCAGGCATCCCGAAATCATCCATATTCAAACCAGATGCCATATTCGACCCCATAAAGTCATTACTACTCGAACCAAAACCACTAGGCGGAAATGTAGTTGTGCTTGGTTTCGAAGCATTCTGAAAATCCCCAAATGCATCATTCGTAACATTTGCCTTATTACCTTTATCACTTCCCGAATTAAGACTAACTGATGGTTTTGATGAAAAATCAACCAAAGAACCAAAAGGGTCTTTCTTCAAACCAATCCCACTTCCACTTCCACCTCCAACGCCACCTGCACCTCCAGCCATACTTTTCATCGAAGGACCCCCAAGATTCTGGCTCTTACTATCATTAATATTCACGTAAATATTACTACTACCACTGCTATTATTATATCCACCAGAATTTCCCCAATTTCCACTACTTTTTGGCAACGAATCAGCCAAATTCCCCATCGAGTATGGGCTTTTACTCAAAGAATTCGACGTGGGATTTGCATTTTTCAAAGGAACATTAGAATTACTATTACTTTTCCCCTGTCCCAAAGCAGAGCTAACCAAATCCCCGAACAAATGAGGGGTCTTGTTAACGATTCCGATCCCAGAACTATGACTCCCTGAAGGACCCGAAGAAGTCCAGCTCTTGCCAAAGATGTCCCCCATCATGGAAGTGGGTCCAGATAACCCCGATTGGTTGGCCTGATTCGCGGCGGGTTGGTGAGTCCACGACGGCTTGTTGGGTTGCCACGAGGGCTTCGATTGTGCAGTAGACGTTGTTGATGAATATGATGAAAATGAAGATGTGGTTTGGTTCTTTTGGTCGTTCATGGATTTGGACCGGCCCGATCCGAGGCCGAGATCAAAATCAAAGCTTTTTAGCGAACCTGATGAACCTCTCCCGTAATTCGAGTTCATGGTTTTTTGCAAATGTGTGGATCTAAGCAGAGATTAATTGATCGGATCGGATTTGATCGAGAGCGTACCTTACAATATCGATGCCGTGAGTTTCAGCGCTGCGGCGGTGCTCGGTGGCGGGCAACGTGCGCCTTGGCCTTATTAGGAAGAGTGAAAGAGTCCTCTGGAGGAAATTGGAAGTGTCTGATTTGATTTCGGACAGCAGAGCAAATCCGGATCCTGAAAAAAAAAAAAAAAACCTAATTTTAGTTTGTGACAGGGAAAGTAATTTCCACCTGACAAGGAGGGTCAGTTTTGTAAAATCACTATAACTTTTACTAATCTCTTCTTTTCTTGCACTAGCATTAAAAGATTATTGGAATAAAGAAATAAGAAATTTCTGTTGGTTTCTACTGGTAATGGAAATTTGCCATTAGAGGATGCAAGTTTTCCCAACTTGCATAACGACCAAGGAAGCTTATTGCCCACGGTTTTGTCATTGAACAAGATTGTTGTTGCCCCTTTCTAAACGGGACCGGCGAAATGCTTGCTTACAAGTTTCTATGGCACTTTGTTCTTCCCCTCTGTTAGCCATAAAACTACTTGATGCAGTAGAATTTTGCTGTTTAGTTCCTCGAGACATTGGCTTTGGCAGGGTTTTGAAACGAATGAATGCTACATAACTCCCATTTAACTTTTGGGAGCATTTGTCTATGGAGCCAGGGTCATAATAAACTTAAATTCAGTGAATCTTAAACCTACAATTGTAGTTAAACCCCCTTCCCTTCCTCATTCCACCAAATCTTTTCCCCTCGGACACAGGGAATGGCTAGAGGATTTAGAAGCATTTTATCAAAGCAATCATGCACAACTGAGTATAGACAAGGTCTCTGGTACTGGTTCTACACACGCATTTTCAAAGTGATAAAAGATCTAATGAAAAAAGGACAGATTCAGACTCAAAAAACAAATAACCCATAGTCATCTAGGTTGCAATAGAAATTGACCAGCTATGCATATCAAAATGTAACAGCAAATATTCACATTTCCAACTTTCATAAAGATGCTAGGTAACGCACAAGCAAAGTACGTGACATAAGAGCAATAGCAAAGCCATCATCATGAAACAAATATATGCCAACAGTTCCTTTGAACCATAGGGATAACAATAAAGCTTAATTCAGTTATCTAGGTGCTACATTTTGGTAACTACACTTCCAATACATGGGCATTCTTCCTGTCAAGTTTCCTTCATCAAGGAGAGACCTTCACCTTCACCCAGAACCTAAGATTAGTGATTTGTTGATGGTGGTGGTGACAGGTCACTCCTACTTGCATTCTCAAATTGATTTCTTCTCATTTGCCTTTCACCCTGACCACGAAGCCGGACTCTCTGAGCCTGAAACCTGCCAGGTCCCTGCACCCGACCTGTATATTGTGGCCTACGGATGACTTTCCCATCAACAAACAAATCCCCTGATAATCAATCCACAAAAATATGAGACAAAGAATGTCGAAATCAAAGGGAATTTAGTAGCAGAAAGCAGCAAACTTTTCTATTAAGACTCAAATTAGAAAATACTCACCTCCATAATCTTTGTTTGGCACATCATGATATGAATCCGGCAAAACCCAAAGTACACGAGGCAGCCCTATACAAGCAGAGAGTCAATGAAGAATAATTTAAAATATCATGTCAATTGTACCAAAAAGATAGATTTTAGAACAAAATCGCCCATCAATGAGAAGTTCAATATACTCATAGCAACGAATTGTAACAATTCAGTACAAAAGATATAAACTTCGAAACTTTAAAACCTTATGCTATGCTATGTATCACAACAACAATCAAAGTTAATTTTTAATTCCATCACAAAACCCATTACTTCAAACATAAAATTATTCCATAAATGCTTCAAAACAAAGAAAAAAGAATGAAGAAAGCAAACCCTTTAAACTCCAAAACTAACAAATGAAACACCTTTAACTTTGTAAGACAATTCCTCAGAAATCAAAGCACCAAACCCCGTATACGTCGTCGTACAAACCGAGTATATCCTCTTCTTGGCCTCCTCTTCACTACAACATAAAAAAAAAATTCCCCAATTCTCAATTTAAAAAAAAAAAACCTAAAAAGGAATGAAATTTGAGGTTTTTTTTTTAACCTGCCGACAACAGAAGCTAGCGTTTTCACATAGGCATCGATCATTTCTTCTTCTGAGGGTTTAGGGTCATCTGGGAACTCCAAAACGATAAGCCAATGCTCATAGTCACAGCCGTCAAGAAGGATCGTTTCTTTCGGTGGCCGGTTGCTCCAGTTCGGAGATGGGTCGTTCAAAGGTGAGTAGCCGGATCCCGATGTCCTGTTCCGGGTCAGGATTTGACTGGTTCTGGGCTAAACACTTGGGCATTGTTGAGGAAAGCAAGGGCGAAACGAGAACGAGAAGAGAAAGTAGAAGGATAAGAAGAAGAAGATGAAGCAGGAGAAAGGGTGCGGGTGAGGATGGTTGCTAGAGAGCGTCGGGCAGTGATGTAAGCCATTTTCGGCGACAACTTCCCTCCCTGTTCTCTGTTTCCCTCCGTTCCCCTCCGTTGCTTCCACTCTATTCGTTAATTAATATGGGGTAAGAGTAACACTTTACACTGCATTGTAAAACGACGTCATTTTGCCGATGCGTTCTTGGATTTCATTTTTATAAAAAAATATTAAGAAAATTATAAATTTTAAAAAATAATTTATGGTTCAAATTCTAAAATTATGCATTAATCAACAGATACATTAGAAGAAAAGTGTAGCTCTCATTAAAGTATTCATAACTTAGTATTTCAAGCACCACAAATTAATGGATTTATTGGTATTTGACTATAAGAGAAAAGAATAATTACAACTCTTGAAACAAGAGTTATTGCTAGGGACAGGCAATTTCAATTAAAATCGAATTAATTGAAAATTTTGATTAAAATGATTTAATTAATTTGAAAATCAATATAGTTAAATTAATTAACTTTACCGATTTCGATTTTAAAATATTTTAATTAATTAAATAAATCAATTTGTACAGAAGTCATTTATATATATCATATATATATATATATATAAATATATCATAAAAATGCTCATTGTCAATTATCAGGGAAGGAGGGGACTACATGAAATTTCACAAAAGTCAGTCCAAGAATGTCAATCTACACTTCGTAAACAGAAAATGTCACCTTAAAACCTAGAATTAATAACTTGTAAGCCATGAAGAAACCCCTTCATGCTCCAGCGGCCTTGCCGAGGACTGTCGGGCACTACATAGTTCAGACTTATGTTGACAAGCTGAACGTTTTCACATGGGACCTCAGTGCTGCACAGCAAAGTCACTGCAGATTTGGTGTTGTAGGTGCCATTGACGTTCCTTATGAATATGTCTGTAAGCTTCACAAGCGAGGGCTGCATAGGAAGAACCAACAAATCAAATTGGTTAGGTTAAACGAGAAAACTTGGATGTCTTTGCGTAGATACTTACTTGGGTAGTGTTGCAGCTGTTTGAAGGGCAGTATTCTTGATCTATAATTATAGGGTTGGAGACATTGATCATGAAAACATCCTCAAATGTCATGTTGGAAGCGTTGCTTGCAGGGGCACCAGGCCATGTCTTCACTCTGATGCCGTTTTGTGTGCCTTTGATGGTGCAGTTCCGAACATTGATCCCAACCACATCCTTCTCGTTTTTATACTTGCCAAGGCTGCCCACACTGCCATTTTGCAGAAGAAGATGGTTCTAAATGAAAGTTTTAGAGATCAGGAGATGGGACCTGAAATCTTGTTACTGTTTTAAATCTAGGCTTACCTTATTCCATGGCCCGGGCCGCAATGGACATTAAAGATAGAGACGTTGCTACTACCAGGTCCTATGGAGACACAATCATCACCTACTCCAATTGTTGAGGAAGAAATTTTTATGTTAGAGGAGTGACTGACATGGATGCCATCAGTGTTCGGGCTATCGCCGGGAGCAGTGATATTGAGATTGTGGATATTAATGTTGTTGCTGCCATGGAGACCCAGGTGGAAGCCCTTGCTGTTTGACAGAGTGATATTGCTGATGGTTGCACATGAAACATTGATAAAATCTATTGTCTGCAAAATCAAAGTGTGGAAAAAAGTCATACCACTGCCTATTGCAGAAACAATTTTGAACTTCGGCAAACTTGTAATGGAACTTACTGTGATTAATTTCTTACATCTCGCTGATTTCTCACAGCTAGACTGTTTCCAGGCTTCGGCTTCTCCCTGGCCATCTAATTTTGCTGTTTCAGTTACCCCTGTGAGAGTAAATCCTTGCAAGTTTCTAAACGCAATCCAGTTGGACGATTTAAAGGCGCTAAGGCTGATTGGAGCCAACAAAGTTCCCCTGATCTCTATGTTTGGTGACTGGTTGTTATAGCAGGGACCTGGAAATGAGATCGGACCAACCAGGAATGTTCCTTCAGGTATGTAGAAGGTAGAGTTCCCAGGATGACCACATGCAGCGTTCCACGCTGCAGAGAATGCCTTACCCCAAAAGGAAAATAAAAGAAATTACTGCAATCAGGATTTGCTGAAATTTTATGACATAAAACTACAAACAATCATCTACATATCAGAAATAAGAGGCGTCTTCCTAAGGGATTTATCTTCTCTACTGTATTTGAGAGTTTAGCTTATGTCTGTTTCTTTTAGTGGTCTCATCAAGCATTCACTTGTGAGATCTGAAAATCTGATACTTGACAAATAAATATCAGATCACAGTAAAACATGGTAATTAAGAAGTACAAACCGAGCTACTTTCTGTCCCCCCATCAGCCACTGCGCCATGCTCAGTGACATCAAAAACTCCATCCTTGGGAGCCTTATTTGTTTCCGGAGAGTCAGCTGGTGGAAGGGGAGGCAGTTCAGGTGAGGCAGCTTCAGGTGCTGGAGATAGGTTGGGTGAGCCACAGCTTTCGCAGGGGTAAACTGTTGCCACCACACTACTTACATGAAACAATGCTATGAAAACAGCTATTTTTCTCATGCTGTACGTCATCATTCCCTATACCAGGCTAGCTTAAAAACCTTCTTTTACTTCTTTGGGACAGTAGCTCATCTTCACAGCATTCATCTTTGGTACTTTTAAGGTGACACTGATGGAAATTTACCAAATTTTTTATGCTCTTTGTGACCGTTTATCTATAAAAGCTGGGAGCAGTTTCTTTCAATTTATAACTGCTTTAAGGTAAATTTCAGTTCTCTGAAATAAATCCATTCATTACTTTATGTCTTTAAACCTTGGCTGACATAGAGAGACAGGTTTTCTGCTGCTTAAACTAATAACATTATGAGAGCTAAAATCCCTAATATTTTTGGTGAAAGTTATATGCTTGTCAGCAATGGATCATGCCAAGGAAAAAAGAAAAACTTGATTTACGAATTTTCCTAGGAAATCCATGCCAAGATTTTTGAAGATTTAATGAAGCAAGCTCCTCTGAGATTACATAGTTCTTAACTTATCCCTTACAATGGAAAAACGTATGTATTATTAATTAAGCTTTGCAAATACTCTGTGATCATAACATTTAACCATTCTTGTTGTTGTCTCCTGCTTGCATCCTTACTGTGATCTCTAAATGATTGATTACTGGCAAATAATATAGGTGATCCACATTAGACCAAAATTCATTCAGTAGAAAAACACGTCGATGAAGATGGTTGTTGAGGATAGCATGAGCTTGTAACTTAAGTGAGATCTGAAGCTGAGCCATAGGGTGGATGGGGTTAACCTTGATACACATTGATTAGTATGCCTCCATGGCTTGGTAGCATTAAAAGGGACAAAAAAGGCCGGCACCTGAAATGTGAACTTACTGCTAGGATATCAGGACAGCTGCATGTTGTGCCTCATACTGATTGCTCAATATTCTAATTAGACATGGAAACTGATATCTTCAAGTGAAAATCTTCAGGGAGACAATGGAAAAAGTAGGGGAGTTCTATTCATATGTTTCAAATTCTGGAGCTACAAAATGTTTACTTGGAATGGTTAAGTTTTACACATAGGTAGTTTGACTTCTTGTAATTTCTTTCTATATTTGGAGAGTCATATCTTCATTCTTATATTAATTTTAAATGGTTTGCTATGAGTGTGACACAAATATGTCAGGAAAAACAACTGAGCCTGAGTAAACATTATGGATTTGGAGTAAATTCCTTTAAGCCTTAATGAACCGTAAGTTTGTCTGAATATTCAGCAGGCAAAATGGTTCAATCCACTGTGTGACTATCAGTATTAGACAGCAGTTGTCGATCAAAACCTTGTATCAACTTCGTGTGGAATTAATTTACGCTTAACACCGGGAATTACAATTGGCTGAGATGCTCCTTACATCAGTTGTACACTAGATCCACTGATTCTCCTCTCTTACAATGATATACTCCATAATACCAACAATTCCTTCACTCAGATGGAAAGGATTGTAGTTTTGACAGTAAGGGCCTAATGGCAAGGGAGAGGGCTTTGGGCTCCAATATAGGCAACTTTCGCATTGACACAATTAGAGCTGAAAGGCAGGTCGCCATTTGGACTACCAGCATACTGCAAGTTGACATTGTTTAAGTGAATTCCTTGGCAAGGATTTGACGAACTGCAAGTTAGATCGACTGCAACTTTGCTAATTGTAGTTCCCCTGATGTTTGTGTAGAAAACGTCACTAATGCTTACTTTTGATGGCTGCATGAAAACAAGCAATAGCTGAATTTTAGTCACTGTCTGAAGGTAGAATTGAGGGGGAATTTGTCAAAATAATCATGGGGGAAGAGACGATAACCTCATTGCTTCTCCTGTTTCCATATTCTTGATCTATGATGATGGGGTTCTTAACTCGTGTCATGACGATGTCTCGGAAAATTATGCCTGAGGCTTTGCTTGGGGATGACTTTTTGTATGTTTTGATTCTAAGTCCATTGTCTGTGTCTGTTAGCGAGCAGTTCTTCACGACTATCCCCTGTACATCTGCCTCAGCATCATAGTGTCCAAGGCTACCGATACTGTTAACAAACACGGACAGGAAGTAGCTTTTTAGGGACTGTTTGATTATGTCCAAGGTCGTTAACTTTTTGAATGGCAGAAATGAAAGTACCTGAAGCCATGGCCAGGGCCACAAAATACTTTCTTGATGCTGATGTTGGTGGATCCTTGGATCATAGAGACGCAATCATCGCCTGTGGCAACGATGCTTTTGGATATTTTCACCAGGTTCGATTTACTCATGTGAATGCCATCAGTGTTGGGGCTTTCTGCAGGGGCAACCAACTTAATGTTGAATATCCTGAAGTTTTGGCTCATGCTGATGAAGAAGTGGAACCCTTTGGGGTCAATGGATGTTATGCCGCGTATGATTGCATCGTTTACCTTGATGAATTTCAATGTCTGCATTGTATACAGAAAAAGCAAACTTCATCACGATTAATAAACAAAAAAATGGCAGAAAAAAAAAATGCTGGTCAGGTGGTGAGTTGAAGCTTACGGCTGGCAGACGGACGCAGTTAGACTTCTTGCCACAGTTATTGTACTTCCATACCTCAGCACCTTGGCCATGGAAAGTACCGTGTCCAGTGAGAATCAAGCCGTCAATGCTTTGGAATGTGATCCAATCTGTATCATCTGCTCCACCGGCGTAGTAGGAAATATCAGATTGTGCTTTGACCATTCCATTAGCTTGAATAATTAGGGGAGATGGATTGAAGCAGGGTCCTGAAAATATGACAGGTCCTATCAAGAAGTTCCCGTCAGGGATGACCATCATAGCATTTCCATTGTAATTGCATGCAGCCTTGAATGCCCTGATAAAATTCTGCAGGAAATCACAAATTCATTGGACCATGATTAAGTTTAGCTTGACCAGAATAAAAAATTGAATGAAGCGTTCAAAAGTGTAAACCATACAATTGAGCTATCCGTCTTTCCATCAGCCTTTGCACCATAATCTAACACGTTAAAATGTTTGACATCAGGGCCTACATTGCCGACTGCGGCAGCTCTAGCTTTAGCTAGAGCCTCCGCCGCATTAAATGGAACCTTGCCGTCGCAACCCTGAAGAGCTAAGCACAAGAGAAGAATGGCGCTTACGCGAACAATTGTGGCGACGGATGCCATTATTGCCACCCTTCAACCCCGATCTCAACAAAAATTCCTTCGTTTCTTGTTTTAAAAAAGTTTCAAAAGCCTGCAATATAGAGGCTTCAAAAATTGAGGTCTGGTGCTACCCTTGTGTTCCCTGCTTCCTTCTTTATATGCTTTTAGCCTCTGAAACAAAGACCAAACTGTTACCGCTAATGCCATCTGTGGGAGGACAAAATTCTCGGAAGAATTTGGTTTTTGTAGTTTCAAGTTTGGTTGCCTTTGGTTCCTAATTATAGGGCTGTTTATTCTTTGTTTGTCTGTGTTTCTGTCCCTTCCCTAAAGTTGGGAACTTCCAATTTTAGTGGATGTTCCAAGAGGTCGACATTCCTACCTAAATCTTTCACCCAAGTTCCTATGTGTTCAACTGATTTCTATCTTAAAAAGAAAACTCACAGCCTTTGCTCCTCTCCGATCTCCGTCTTCTTCTCCTCTTTCAGAAAGGAAACCCTGAAGAGAGAGACAGAGAGAGAGAACAGCGGAGAGTAGAGACCATAACAACAAATTAACTAAGAATTATGGTAGGTCTGGTTGAGAACTTGTCTTTTCTGCTATATATCAGGAACAGGCTCTTTGAGCTTTGAAACCTGTGGCCCCTGATGATAAAGTTATTATTGTTGTAAATGTTGGTCCTGAATCCTGATGATGGTTTTCAAGTCAATTATACATGAAATATATTATTAATCATTGATTTTTTTTTATATATATTAGACTGTAAATATTGGATATTGAAAACCAATCATAATAATCGAATCAAGTAATAAATTAAAATTAAAATCGAACAAATCTAATTTAATTAACTGAATTTAATTAATTTTGATAAAATCAATTAATACTTACATGTTGAATTCCATTTGTAATCATGTAGAAACTTCGGATTACGATGCAACAACGTATGATAATTAAAGTTGAAATCATATTCTAAAGATTACCATATCTAATTAACATAATTTGTAATTAACAAATAGTGCATGACATGCTTTTAATTCCAATGATGAAGATATATCATCTTTTTGTATTTAATGGTGCTTCTAGATGCATTAGTTTCTTTCATTAAAAATTGGGAAAGAAAAAAGAAGAATCTTGTAGTTGCAATCATATGATTATTGATAGAAAAACCTGACAAGTTGTTGGATACATATATACGATCTAAATATATAGAGCAGCTTTTCCAGATACCTTATTCCTTTGGCCTAACTTCTTCTGCAGCTGTTATAATTCTTATAGTTAATTATTTACTTTATTTGATTGGGTTATTAATGTTTTTGCATAATAAATAGTTAAAAGTAAATAATTAATACTCCATTGAATTGATTTTTTTAATAAAAAAATTGAAATATCAATTCAAAGAAATCTTATGCTAAAATCCATTGATTCAATTTTTGAAATTTTTTTCCTTTTTGTAGTGCATATAAAAATGATGTATTTAAAAAAAATGAAATTGATGTGTAGATAAAATTAACTTAAAATATTTTTGAAAGTAATCAATAGCATCATGCATATATTAAAGGTAAATCCTTGTAATAATCTCTATCTAAATATCATTAATCTAATAATTTTTTGGATTCAAATCATACAATTTTTAAAAACTTAAATTCAAAGTAGTTAATCATCATAAACTTTAACCTTTTAATAAGTCTTAAAATCACGTTCATGACAGCATGGTCATTATCATTCATGATCATAACAGTATTATCAATTGTATGCACAAATAATCTGCTAATGGAATTTAATGGCCCTGGCTTTTGTTTTAGGTGACTCAAGGAACATAGCAGCTTTTCAACATAGATATCAAAGATCAAGAAAGATACATATTTGAAGCACCACCACTGCCATGGAGGCAGGGCTTTATTTACTTATTCCCATCGTAACCACACTGAGAGAAAAGAGCAAAGAAAGACGATCTAAGCTAATAATAAGCCCAATAAAGTGGCTTATTTTTGCTAGTGTAATCAATAACCATCGTCCCACCATAGAATTTAGCTGCCTCATTGCTGCTAATGACGGCCTCTTTGGCAACAGAAACAACTTGGGGTCTCTCGGAAATGCTCCGTCCACCATAGTATTGATGCTGAGATGTTGTTCCATGGTAACTGGTGACGGCCGGTTCTTTTGTCACTGTGTAAACTTGGGGTACTTGGCAAACGTAAGACTGTTGATGCTGGTAGTAAAAATATTGGTAATGACTTCGATGTACCTGTGGCTGTGGAGATTGAAGTCTCTGGCTCTGATGATTCGACCTTCTGGTCCTGCCATAGCACTCGTCGATCAGCCCAAAACCTTCCAACCCAACCTTCTTAAGGTTCTGCTCTCTCTGAGATGCCATCTCACAATTTCTTTTTAACTTGGTTTGCCTTGTTTGCTTGGCAAAACCGTTAGAGGCCGAGCTCCATTTTATAGAGGAAGCCAAGCGAGGAGCTGAACCTTCCTATCTAGTTACCTATGCAGGGGGTCTAGAATACTTTAAAAGCAGTCGGAAAGCACACGTTTTTTCTTTTACTAATACAATAACAAAATAGGAAGTCGGTTTCCCAATTCCCACTTTTAGGATTCCATTTGTGATTTCGTGCATGTCAAACAGTGAGAATGGGAAAGTGCCCAATGAAAAAGAAACTTCCTAATAATTTAGAGGCTTTTTTCTGCATCTCTGGAGGAATAAAATGTTCTTTCAATTAGCTTAGTTGATGTCTTTTTCCCAGTGGGGTGCCTTGGTTTCATACTCAAATGGGCAAAACGCTGCTTTGGAATCATAAACCAATGCTTCTTCACGTGATTGTTTGAAGATTGCAAAGATTGAACTCATATCAGTTGGATGATTTTTCTGATATGTTGTTCAGAAATTAAATTCTAAAGACTATGTTACTTAGATATTAAAATATGCTACTGGTGTTGTTATAAGTTCTCACTAATCTCAGAAATTATGGCTCAGATTTCTTTAGGTGACATCTGGATGCATCAAGTTCTTTCATTAAACAAAACATGAACCCTTTACCTGCAATCATTTGATTATTATGCTGTAGAATTAATACCCTCTCAAGGCATTGGATATACATACAAAGAAAAAAGGCAGCTTCATAGCACTTTATTCTATTGCCTGACTGCCATTGGGTACAGACAATTAGTTATGATCTTTTAAATTATGTTTTCATAAGAATCTTTCCATAGATTATATGTTATGATTAACATTAAGATTTTTCTTTGTTTTATGGAATATCTGGTTAATTAGATGCTTCATGTGGATCATATTGAACTTCCATTAATTTAGAAAAGTCTGCAGTTGTGTCAAGTCTATGTCTTTTGTCTGAGCAATGGAAGCTGATAAATTTCACATCAAACCACTCTCTCTGCCATTTCAATTGTACAGAAGTTGGAAGTCTGTGCACTGATGTATATTTCTTTGGAACCTCAGAACCGTGGTTTAAAGGGTATTACAAAAAGGGGATTGAAAGTCAAAACTGTGCCTGTAGATGTATTGGATTCTTTTAATAAAGGGTCTAAAAACAATATTTAGTTGCAAATTGTAATGATATGGCCAGACAAATGATTGGATATACATTTAACATTACAACAAATTTGACTTAAGATAGTATATTTTTAAATTGTACTATTAAAAATATTTTTAATAAATTTTTTTATATTTTTTAGAATATTTTAGTAGATCTAACTTCACTATATAAATTTTTAGATGCATTATGAATAAAATGTAACTACAGAAATTGCATACACTAATAAATATTGCAATTTTTTATTTGTTATTAAATGTGACAAAAGTGAAGCTAAAAGTTTAAAAAACTGTACTTTTAAAAATTTTCTATGAAAAAAATATATCTAAAAAAATATAATTAAAACTCAATTTTTTTGTAGTGTAAAAAGAGCATCTTTTCTAGAAGCTTTATGTGGTGCAAATCAATGTTGGTTACAAATCCTTCCTTTAAGAAGATCTTTTATTTAATTAATTAGAAGAACTAAGATTATCAATGTTATTGAACTGTGAGAAAAGCAATTACATGATTAAATATTGATATATTCCCATTCCCCATGGTTGGTTTGTTTATGATTTCTTGTTGATTCCTGGTTCAAGTAATTAACAATCTATCATTTGCACAAGGATCTCATATAAAAGTGATATCAATCTAGATTTCTTTGCAGCATTAAATTTTGAGGTAATCAATAGCAACCATACACTAAATCAAATATCAGCTAGATGATGTCTGTTGCTTCTTCTTGGTCTACTTTTAACTAATAGCACATTTCATCACATTCCTGATTTCACTGATATATGTAATTACAAGATTTCATCAGGAGGTGAATAAAGTTTGTGAAAAATCTCTAGCATATGCAGGGGGTGAAGATGATAGGTTTTAATCAAAATATATTGAATTTTTTTAAATATTCAGAAGAGTAAACAACAGATGGGTGCAGTGAAGTTCTGACAGTGGAACAGAACTCAAATCCAAATTGCCCTGATGTATATGGTTGTCCAACCATTTTGTTTCCAACAACCAGCCCAAAAAGCCTGAAAAATATACTTGATCTGACTTTTTATTTGTCAGACTGGATTTTTAGCTGGATTTTCAGAGCCAATCTACACAGGTTCACCTTTATCAACTTAAAGAAGCAGCATTTTTTATATAGCTAAATAAAGAACTAGAAAGATACAAAGTTGAAGCACCAATGTCATACAACCGGGGTTTTTTTTTTTTTTTTTATCACAACAAGGCCTAATGTAACTATTATAATGGAAAGTTAACAAGCTAATAAGGCTAACGAAGTGGCCTAGTTCTAGTATAACTCAACATCACCATTCCACCATAGACTCGAACTGCCTCATTGCTGCTAATCTCAGCCTCTTCTGCTGCAGAAACTTGAGGGTCCTGATAAACACTCTGCCCAGTACTGTAAAATTGCCGAGTTGTTCTAAGGCTATGATTAATGACAGACTCTTTCACGGTATTAACTTGGGAACCGTGATAAATGCAAGATTGTTGATGTTGGTATTGTTGAGGATGACGATAATGGTTTTGATGAACCTGTTGAGACTGAACCTTCCAAGATGGCCTTTTGGTTGGACCATAGATCTCATCTATTAGT